TATATAAATAAATAATAATAGGTTCATATTACATCTTAATAAATCCTTATTTTACAAAGAGTCGATAGAGAAAATTATTTGGTCTATTATACACTTAATGGCTGCATGTTAAAATATTAACAATTTTGTGCAAAATAACAATTCTTTCGTTAACCAGATTATTTAATGCCTTACCAAAATAATTTAATAATCAGGTTAAAAATGTAACATATTATACGATGAACCCACAACTACCCAACTTATCTATTAATGGAACATCACTTACCAAAAATTCAATAACCACACAATTAGGAACTGTCTTAATGAAACTTTATTCCCTGGGAAAATAAATAAAAATAACATTCTTTGCAAATTCTAGAAAAAAATCTTTTGAAACACTGAGAACTCTTTATCTAAAACTCCCCAAACAACCAAAAGCTAAAGAAACTCACTTTAAGATGTTAAATGCAATATATCCCTCGAAAGAATACTAAAAATGTGTTTTAATACTGATGACAATAAATGTTCACTCTGTGAAAGTGATATAGAAACAACTGGCCATGTTGGAATTGCTTAGAAACATGGATCAAATCAAAAATCTCACTTCCTGAATCTAGCTCTAGAGATATGGTAACTTTTGGAATATTATTGAAAAACAAAAAAATAGAACTCTGTTGTAACCTAATTACAGTATGTGTTTAGCAAACATTTTTATTCATAAACAAAGAGTATTGAGATCATCCCCAATCTTTACATTTTTTTTTTATCTGAATTCAAGTTATATTTGAAATCTCTTAAATGTATTGAATCACACGAATACCTGACTGAAATACTGATGGGATTGCCCATCGATGTATATTGATCCTAACATGAATCCCCTTGTTGCCATGTTAATAATTTTTTAATCATAATCAGCCAATCTTTTTATTTTTTTGTTCCTTATCAATAATGCCTTGTACTTCCATTTTGAAATCTACCTCTGACTTCCTTCCACAGATTTGTATTGTTGCTATTGCCTTACTTGTTTGTACTTACTTTCATTAAATAAAGTTCATTAAAAAAAACAAGACTTTAAAGGAATAATACACCCAAAACATGATTAGCCTTCATTTTCTACTCACCCCCATGCTGAACAACACTCTGGAGTACTTTTTTGATAT